GTTGCTTTCTCCCTCCCTTTTATGAATCAAGCCCCAAGAAGGGGCTTCTGTGTTTCCCAGAGACCTGAGCAGAGTTCAGCCCCAGGCGTTTGTGAAGGTAACCTAATAGTTCACATGCCCTCAGGCTTCTCCCAGGTTCATTTTCCCATTCATGAATCAAGCCTCAAGAAGGGGCTTCTGTGTTTCCCAGAGACCTGAGCAGGGTTCAGCCCCAGGCTTTTGTGAAGGTAACCTAATAGTTCACATGCTCTCAGGCTTCTCCCAGGTTCATTTTCCCATTCGTTTATGGTTGCTTCTGGGTGGGTGGGGGGACAATTTGAAACAGATTATTTACACATAAATCTTCATCTCAATAGTTGGCACCTGTTACTGTATCAAAGATCTGCACCTTGAATTTCCTGGTAGAACAGTGAGATGCAGGGGCCTAATGAAGGTCTGTCTGTTTCTTTGTGTATGTCTGTCTGGACTTGTCTTTCAAACTTTCTTGGCTCAAGCATGCATGTGCTGTGTGCTCCTGCTTGTATAAATCATATATATCATGTGTCTGTGTGTGTGTGTGTGTGTGTGTGTGTGTGTGTGTGTGTGTGTGTGTGTGTGTGTTCATGCTCGCGCATGTGTGCATCTGTCAATGCAGACCAGGTACTAGAATTGACAATCATCCTCCTGGCTTGGTACTCCAGGGGACTAAAGGAGCACCAGGAGACCCTTGGTAGGCAGCAAGTGTTTAGTTAGTGCTGGAAATTTAAAAATCTCAACTGTGCTGCCCTTATTGGGTGAATGATGAAGCCTAGGAGAGTGTTTGATCTATATCATGGGTCCATCTGTGGGCACTGGTTTCCTTCAGTCAGCAGATCTCAGGTTACATAAATAAACCAGGTCTTGCCCAGTAAGCACTTCATGGCATGTGTGACATGCCCCTCCAGTGCATAGGCCAGGGGCAGTCAGGAACAGGAATGTCTGCAGGAGGGGCAGTTGCCAGGCAGCTAAACCTTCCAGTCTGTGACTAATTCTGGCGCACAGTGTCATTCACTGCCTGGCTTTGGCCAAGTGCCTTATCCTTTCTGTGCCCTGGTTACCTTCTGGAGAACAGGGACACTTGCCATGAAGAGTCCAGGCTTCCGAGTCAGACAGGTTAGGCGTGCCTCCTGCCTCTACCGCCTATTTGTTTCCTGGCCTTCACCAGGGTCCAAGCCCCTCTGTGCCTCCGTTTCGCTTTTAATAAAGTGAGAGTCACAAGATCAGTGCACTTGCCTTCTGGAGTGGTTGTGCAGACTCAACAGGGTTGCCCATGTAAAAACCTGGCAGTAGGCTTCCCTCTGCTACTCAGTTGCTTGCATATTCAAAGACACATTTCCTATAGCTTTTCTAGAATTATCTTGTAGTCAGACTGAAATCTCCTGTCTCTCCAACTGCATATTCAAAGACACATTTCCTATAGCTTTTCTAGAATTATCTTGTAGTCAGACTGAAATCTCCTGTAATATCCCCTCCCCTCCCTCCCATCCCTTCCCCTCCCCTCCCCCTTTCCCATGTCCCCTTTTTCACCCCCTCCCCAAGCCATCTTGGTTGGCCTGGAACTCATGGCAACCCACTTATCTCATCCTCCTCTAAATGCTTGCTACAGGTGTCAGCCACCATGCCTGACTAGTGTAGGACTTCTGTTGAGTTGTTTTGACATCTTCAAAGTCTAGCTCCTCATATAACCCTTGATCCCCCTCCTTTTTGACAGGTGTAAATAGCTGCTTTCAGGTGTATAGCATGAATTGGTCCCACAGAGTACATGGAGCAGGACAGGGGCCAGCTCTTATTGAAAGTGCTCATCTCAGCCCCCATCCCTTTTGACTCTTGAGATGGGAAAGAGGGCAGGAGTGGGAGGAGAGGACCATTCAGCTGTGCCTGCAGGGCATTCACGGGGTTCTGGGAAGCTGCTGGGAGCGGGAAGGGCCACCCCAAAGCTCTCTGGTACCTGCTGCTCAGGGTGGAGGAGAGTAAGTAGAGCTTATCTCTAGATCCTCTGGAAGCATCTGCAGGTTGTGCTGAAAGAGGAAGGGGCACTGCAGCCATCCCCTGGTTGGCAGCCAGTGGGGATGCTTGTATGTGTATGGGTGGGTGGAGCTAGTTTCTCTCTCTTCAGTCCCCTGCTAGTCTCCACAGCACGCTTCCTGCCCTGAACAGGTCATAGAAGGCGCTAGCAGTGTCACCTGAGCATGTGGATGTAGGGACCCTAAGAAGGTGGTATCTTATACCATCCCATCTGCTTCCTGGTGTATCTAACAACACTCCTTCTCCAGCTTCAGTGAGAATTAGTCAAATGCAATAACAGGTCATAGAAGGCGCTAGCAGTGTCACCTGAGCATGTGGATGTAGGAACCATAGGAAGGTGGTATCTTAAACCATCCCATCTGCTTCCTGGTGTATCTAACAACACTGCTTCTCCAGCTTCAGTGAGAATTAGTCAAATGCAAGGTGTGTTCAAGCCCAAATGTTAGGATTCAGTAGGTTTGGGATGGGGTTGTGGTTTTTGATTTCTAGCAAATTCTCAGGTACTGGTCCTGGTGGCAATGGTACTGTGTGTGGTGTAGTGGTCCACAGCCCACACCCTGAGGACCAATGTCCTAGAGAAGGGGATGAACAAAACCTGAAGAGCCTGCCGCCTTTATCTTCCACACAGTGCAGACACTAAGTTCACCATCATCCCATTATGCACCAAGAACTAGTTATTTCCCTAGTGCCTGATACTAGAAAAACATCAGGAACAGGTAGTCATGGTCCCTGCCTTGGTGGAACTTATCACTTTAGGGGATTCCCTGGAGAACATAAATCCGAAAGTCCAGAGGTCGTCTGAGCAGGAATGTTTCCCTAATGAACAGGCAATGACATCTCAGAGAGGCCATGAGGCTTCCCGAAAGTCACTCAACTGTGACTTTAACTCAGATTCCTCAGTCTGAGACCTGGCTCCATCAACTAGCTGGGAGCCACCACTAGAACTGCCTGGGGCTGGTCTTGAATGGGACAATGACAGACCCTGTACAGATTACCAGAGGGTGTCAGCTGGAGCTTGAATATAAAAGGAGAGCTTATCCAAAAGACATGCAAACATGTCTGAGTGTTGCACACAATCAGACTCTCAGTTCCCAAGATCTGGTCAATGACAAAGTTTCAGAATAAGTCACTTCCCTCCTCTCCCTCCCTGTTTACTAGCTAGCCTTCTCATTTCCTCCACATCTGGCATCTTGACAGTTCCATTTTTGCCACAGTCTGATTTTCACGTTAGTGGTGGTTGTCCCTCTCGGTTGGCATGATGGCCTCATCTCCATGGCAACCTCTGGAGATGGAACCCAGGATTTCACACATGCTAATCAAGGATTGCAACACTGAGCCATCCACCCCCTAGCCCTTGGAGACATTGAATTGGTGACCAAGAAAAAGCATCCCAGAACAAAGTATGAGGTCCCCTTCCCTGAACCACAGATGAACTATGGATTAAACTGGTCCCTGATTTAGTGGTGGGGATCTCTCTTCTCTCTACCCACTCACGTTGCAGTAGCTCAGACCAGCCCCAGATCTCACTCAGATGGTGCATTCAGCCTCAGGTGGGTGAGTCTCTCTCCAAATGTCTTATCCTACACTAGGTACAGGAGTGCGTACCTGGATCACAGGGCAGAGCCAGCGTTCACCATCATCTTATCATTGACTTAGCCACCAAGAACTGATTGACTGTGTGCCCGTGATCATAAGTCTGAATCTCAGATGTTCTGATTCTCTCTACGGAAAGAGTATCATAGAAACGGACAGATTGTTTCCTCCACAGACACCATGTGGGGGGTTGAAAGGCATGCCACTAACAAGATGCTCAGCAATACAGATAAAAATGCATTTTATTGTGGTAGATTAGAACGTCATAGAAGCGTTCCAGTTTGGCCTGTAGTTTAAGACATCAAGATTCTGTCCGCATTTAGCACCTAAGGTTGGTGCTTGCAGGTCTTGTCTGATTCTTGGGGTAATCTCATTTTTCAGAGGTGCAGGGATAGAAGCTGGCCAGTGGTCCAGTGAGGGTTTAAATTAAATTCAGAACTCTGCTTCTAAAACACTTGTGATTTTTACCCACACCTCTCTGCCTTTGTGTCTTGGGCACTTGATCTAAAGTTAGAGCAAGTTCCCACTCTAGCCTAGGCTGACGGTTCTTTGTAAATAAGTCAGAAGTTGCAGGTATTTAAAAGTGGTTCTCAGCTTGAAGATGGTGGAGCTGGAAGATGGTGGTGCCTGCCTTTAATCCCAGCAGTTGGGAGGTGGGGGTTGGGGCTGGTGGGTAAGAGGTGGAGGATCAGGAGGTAGGGGCCAGCTTGGATATTTAAATAAGTGCACTAAATTAAATTAAATAAATAAAACAAAAGCATGCTTTCTATAGAGATAAGGGCAGATTAATCAGAGTGATACTTTGTTCTGTACTTCTCCACATAATACTCAGATGTTATCATTTTCTGCTGTGTGGTTTTAGCTCTCAACTTTAAGAATGACTCTGCAAAGATATAGAGAGACTTTCTTTTATTTTTTTAAAAAAGTAAAAATAAAAAGTAAAAGCAGTAAAGTTTAATTAGTTAAAAACAAACAAGTTTTGGGGGCGGGGGTTAGGGTCAGCATCACTTCTAGGAGCCAAGAACTGAGCATGTGGGAGAAGTACACCAGATGCTCCCTGTACACATCCCATTGTGCCTTCAAGCCACTGAGCACAGAGTCCTCTGCCCAGCACCAGGTCAACTTCTAGCCATCATTGGTAGCTCAGAGATCCGCAGGGCATGAAGTTCCCATCCATACCTTCTCCACAGGCACCTTTAGATCAGAGGCACCTGAGGGGCATGCTGCACTGGGAGCCCAGGAGAGGGGTTCCAAGGGAGGAGGGGTCTTTAGAAGGACCAACTGTGAGGTCAGCATCAGAGGCACAAATAAGGCAAGAAAGCTGCATCAGGACCCAGTAAGGTGAAAGGCTCAGGACACAGGCAGGCCAGGCTCAGAGAAGCGGATCATCTGAAGTTCAGGGCTGAGCAGAGAAGGAGGGACTGTTAAACTGGAAGCCAAGGCAGTCCTCCAGCTTTAGGACTAGTTGCTCTGTGACACCAATCTGGATATGGTCCACTAATTTCCAGAACATGGAGTCTGTCCCCAGTATAATACCAGAGAATATTGCTGCCACATCCTGTGGAGACAGATCAAACTCAAGGAGAAGGGGGACGGGGGTAATCTGCTCACCTGCCAGAAGCTGATGGTCAGAGAGGTTCCAACCATCCAGAGTTTCTTGTTCTCATCCTTGTAGAAACCAGATCTTACACAGTAAGACTGAGTGGGGGTGGCCCCAGGGGAGGATCAGCCATTGTCTAGATAGACTTTCTTGGAAAGGTGTTGAGGACTGGGTTTTCCAAAGCTGGCCTGGGTGGTGTGTTCTCATCCGTGTGATCTTTTTACTGTGTGACCTGGATACCCCTCCGGTGCTAGAATCTATGTTTCTTTATCCTTCAAACTCCAGGATAGCTCCAGCTAATGGAACACAATGGAATTATTGTTATGTATTTCTGAGGTTAGATCATGGGCTGCTGAGTACTTCTGCCTGGCTCTCATGGGATGCTGGCTCTCATGGGATGCTGGCCCTTGGAACTCAGCCGACATGTGAAGAAGCACAAACCACCCTATGTGGAGAGACTGGAGCTGTCTTTGGTAGCCCACCAGGCTGCCAATACCCTTTATCGTCTATCAGGTGGGAGTGGAGAGGGAGTGGAGAGTTCTGTATGATTCTATGCCCCATTCGTCAGGTCATTCCTAACTTTGGGACTAGCAGAGTTCCAAGAAATTATACAATTATGAAACAGAGATACTCTCTCCCTTCCTATATCGGTACTGCCAAAATCAACACAGTTACTTCACTAAGTCTTGGGATGGTTTGTTAAGCAACAATTGTGACTGATATGGAGAGTACATCTGTGGACTTTTTGGTACTCTTTCCTGGGGAAAAGGTTATGGGCAGGGGTGCCACCTATGCATCACTATATTACTTCATCAGAGGCTGAGTGGGTGGCAAGCTCTTTCTTGATCCTTGGCCATAATATATTAAGATATTCTACTGTCTTTCCTGGTGCACAAGTGTGTGTGTGTGTGTGTGTGTGTGTGTGTGTGTGTGTGTCTGTGTGTGTCTGTGTGTGTGTGTGTGTACATGAGCACACATGTGAGGGCCTGCACATTTCTTCATGTGTGCATATGCATGTGTGTGGTACAGTACCAGATCCTTCTTTATGTCTGTTTTTTACTGATTAGAATGTCACTTCTGGGAGGTGGTGGTGCATAACTTTAGTTCTGGCATGCAGGAGGCAGAGGCAGGTGGATCTAGTTCGAGGCCAGCCTGGTCTACAGAGTGAGTTCCAAGACACAAAACAAAACAAAACCTACTAGAATGTCACTTTATTGTGCATAGTTTTTCATTGCTTATTTTCTTTGTTTCTATATACTTCAAACATACTTCAAAAACATAGTAATATTTACTACTTAGAAAATAATCATAAGTAATTGTTAAATGAATGAGTGAAGATGAAATACTACTTTGGCTGGGGTGGGGACATCTGGAAAGATGGCTCAGTAGTTAAAAGTACTTGCTGCTCTTGCAGAGGACCCGGTTCCTAGCACCCATAATGGTGGCTCACAACTCAGGGGATCTGATACCCTTTTCTCACCTCTGTGGATATCAGGCATGCATGTGGTGCACAGACATGCATGCAAGAAAAACACTCATACACATAAGATAAAAATAAATAAATCTTTTGAAAAAAATGAACCTTGGGGCTGGAGAGATGGTTCAGTGGTAAAGAGCACTGGCTACTCTTGCAGAGGTCCCAGTTTCAGTTCCTAGTACCCATGTTGGTTGGCTCCCAGCCATCTGTAATTCTAGCTGCAGGCCATCCAATACTCTCTTTGGGCCTCCATAGGCATTGCATGCACATAGTTCATCCAGGCGCACACAAATACACATTAAATAAATAAAAAATAAACATGAAAAACTTAAAACAATCCTTTAAGGGCATCTCGCTAGAATCATCATGTTCTAGCAGCTATGATCATGTAAAATCATATCCTGGGCAAAGACAAGTTCACATTGTGGTGGGAATAATAGCTTCATAATAATAGTTCCAGTTGTTTTGTTTTTTGAGACAGAGTCCTTCTATGTAGACCAGGCTGGCCACAAACTCACAGGGATCTGCTTGCTTTTGCTTTCCAAGTGCTGGGATTAAAGACATGGCCACCACACCCTGGTCTTCCTTCCTTCCTTTCTCTTCCTTCCTTCCTTTCTCTTCCTTCCTTCCTTTCTCTTCCTTCCTTCCTTTTCCTCCCTTCCTTCCTCCCTCCCTTCCTTCCCTACCTTCCCCTCCTCTCCCCTTCCATTCCTTTTTTAGAAAGATAGTCTTGTGATGCCTAGACTGGCTTGGAACTTGCTATGGTACCCAAGGTGGGCTCAAGCTCACAGCAATCCTCCTGCCCCTCCTGACTGCTGTGATTATAGGCATGTGCTACCATACTTGGCTTCAACTTTAAATAAAGAAAAAGGCAAACAGAAATTGAAAATACTCATATTGGTAGATTTCAGGTCTATACCAAAGATTTTAAAACATTAGTTCCTAGACACCCTGATAGTACTTGCCTGGGTCAACACATAGGATTTAGTTCAGGAAACTTCTTTTGTTGGTGGTATAAACTGGTGAATCAGAGACTACACCCCCCTACCCCCGCCACACACACCCGTGTATAGTGGAGATGTTGACCTTGAGCTCTGTTGAGTTTGGTTGGAGAGAGAAGACCCTGGTGTGTGTTGTGTGATCCTTGAAGTTTGGCATCTTCTAGGGCCATGGAGTTGCAAGAAGTCGTTTCATGTGGCTCAGGCTTCCACCTAAAGACCTCACCCAGAGGGAGAAAAGAAATTGGAGTCCTCTTCCTTGGAACATTAGTGTTTTTATTTTCCTAAACTAAACAATCCCCTTACATAGAAAGAACAATGACTGACTGCTCTAGCCCCAGTGTCCACCTCTGAAGACTTCACAATGTGCTTCACAAATTTAGGACCAATGGCCTGCCTGGCTCAGGACTTAGCAGTGGGCAGCTCTTGCCTGGCTCAGGACTTACCAGTGGGCAGCTCAGGTCTCAATGATCTGCTCAGATGTGATATGCAAAAGGCCATTTACCAAGAAGGACTCTATCAGCCTTTAAACACATTTTCTAAAAACTCACCTGGGGTCTGGAGTGATGGTTGGGTGGTTAAGAATAAATGCTGCTCCCGCAGAGGACCTGAGTTCTGTTCCTAGTACTCTGGTTTGGTGGCTTACTAGGGCCTGTAACTCCAGCTCTGGGGATCTAATGCCCTCTTCTGGCCCCCAAGAAGTCTTGCACTTATGTGCATATAACCCCACACAGACATACATACACATATTTTTTTTAAAGTCATCTTTGGTAAAAGAAAATGATAGAGGTAACAGCAGAGAAGAAAAGTCACAAAAAAAGAAAAGTCACAACCCCAACACCAACCACCCCAAACCAGTAAAAGTGTATTTAGAATGAGCCTTACTATTGTCCTTCAGTAAGTCAGCTCTGTGATCTGTGAATGGGGAGAGTGGGGTAAGAGCAAGGGAGGAAAGTGTTCTGTTGGTATGTGCACATACAGCGCCATGTTGAACAGAAAGAACGAGGGCTATAATTTGTATTAAAGGGACACTGGCTTCTACTCTCCCCACTCAACTAAATTAGACACACATCAGAAGTTACCACATCCCAGGATCTTATAACTCCAGAGTACCCCAAAGCCACAGCTTGGTACACCGGTGAGTTTATTAGGGTAAGAATCTACTTCTAGGAACATGGGTGACTTGAAGGCAGTTGCATCACCAAAAAGCCCATGTCAGTGTAGGCACCGACTCATGAAAACTGCATCCCTGGAGTTCCCTGTCCAGCTCTACAGAAGAGTCTCCTTCTCCCAAGTTATTGCTCACTGTGTGTGTGTGTGTGTGTGTGTGTGTGTGTGTGTTTAGAGAGAGAGGGGAAGAACATAAAGTTGGGTGGGCAGGGAGTTAGGGAAGATCTGGCAACAATTGGGAGAGGAGAAAAATATGACAAAATGACAAATCTATTGAATGACAAAAGACTTTTTTCAATTAAAAAAGAAAAGAACTGACTATCTGGGAAAGACAGAAGATCAAGCACTTGAGAAAGGCACAGTAACAGCTTTATCCCTTTGGGATGGGAGAGGTGTAAGGCAGGAAACCTGTTAGTGGGATGCTGGCTTGGGTCTTATATAGGGCCCCTGGGTCCTTCCCTTTCCCTTATTGAACCTGTTTAGATACCTGCCCCTGTGCCTTCCCACCATTTCTCTTTGCAGTGTCTCTGGGAACAAGAAGCTGCCACCTCAAGGGGCTTGCCTTTGCTTTCCCTGCCTACCGTGATCCCTCTAACTCCTCTTTGAGTCGAGGGCATTTACAATTTCTATCTGTTCCCAGAGTTCTGTAAGGCTTGTAAGCTTTCTAGAAGGTGTTCACTAAAGATTCTGAGGTACTTAGATGTTTCTCAAACCTGACCAAGCAGCCTGGAGCTCTTGTCAAATTGCAAACAAACTCAGTGCTTGGAGAAGTTGAGATTAAATTTCTTTCAAACTCCTGGGGATGTCAAAGCCCCTGCTTCCTGGACAGGGCTTTTGGAAGGGAGCAACCACTCTTGGGCAAGCACTGGACCCCTGGGCAGCCCTCTTCTTAATGTCTGTGAATTTTGTGCACCTGCTATGTGAATTTTGTGGGTGGATGTTTTTAACTGGAGACAACAACACAAAGAATGTCTCTGACAAGTCCAGACTGATGACTAAGGAGTTTATTAGCTGTAAGTTTAACAGGGATATTGCATCCACACACAAAAAAAGCTAACGCCGCACCTGTAAGCCTCTGTTTCACATGACTGAGTAATCAATGCAAACCTGGACTTAGAGTGCCACCTAGTGTCAGTACATTAGAAGTAACTACAGGGTCAGAGAAGCTGCCTAAATCAAATTCAGAAATCCGTTCTCATGTGCACTGGGCCCTTTCCTGACTGAGCAAATGTTATTAGGTCAGTAGCTGTGTCTCCCTGGGCAAGTAACTCAAGCTGCCTGAAGATGAGACTGACTACAGGAGCAGTGAGGGATAAGACTGGACAGGCAAGAAGTCTCATATGCCAGGCTTGTCCTTGAGCTGACTGATGGGCCAGCAAGTAAGCCAGCAGCTGGGCTGGAACGTCTCCAGATTTTCCATCCC